ACAATCCCAACTTCGATTTGTCAGTCAAAATGGGCAAAAGTATGCAGAAGAGAAGTAGGGTTGAAATGAGCGATGATTTAACAGCGATTCAGATCTATTTACGAAGGATGAAATTTCGAAAAAAAATAGATGAAACATAGACAAAATCAATCTCCGTACGAATTTGAAAAAAAGGATAGTATGGGTGGGCCGGACATCTGACGAATGAAACACGCATCCAACCCAGCTGAAAGAGGATGACTAACGGAAAGGGATAACTGGCAGTTAGGGAGAATATGACAGCAGTGAATCACTCGGTCCGTTCCAATCGATTTTCCCCTATTTTGGTTCATTAGTAAGACCTATACCCGAAGTGTATTCATTGTCAGTAAACAATAGTCAAAGTAAACTGCACTTGATTTCATTCGTTTCGGTTGATTTTTTTTTCTTTTACAAAGTAAGACAAAAGAATGCGGTGCACTCGTAAAACTCCAAGTAGAAAGGAATGCGCATCATGACAGGAGTCCAGTATGCGACAAGCATTAGTGCTAATGACGATCTGAGTCCCGTTGTTTCGTGAGTGAGACAACCTCCGAGGATCATACGACAGTAATGCAAAGATNAAGATACTACAAATCGGCTACCTGGGGATCAGTGAACTAACGGGCGCGCTTTCAGAGGCCACTTAGGTGGTGGGTATTGCTTTACTGAATAAGAGGCTGCATATGTTTGAGAGCGCAATAGACCCTTACCTATCGAGCGATCGCAACGCAACACGAAAAGCTACATATGTCCGTTGAAAGCATCGTGACGTGCCTGAATCGGGTCTGTCACTAAATATGGCTGACACCACCACCATTGTCCTAGGGCCAGGGCTAGCGGCGTATTCTCGGAAAAATAGAGCGGAACGTAAGGGATACCGTTTATCACGCATTTATCTACGGAGCCTAATGATCCTCAAGTGGGATCAGGGAGCCTAGAAGTGAAATAGTGCGAATAGTGTGGAAAACGACAGCCGAAATCGTACCAGCGAACAGTGTTCCGTAATTCTCAAGATCACCGGTGAACTTGTGTTGCGACAGGAAGCACCCCGTGACTGACTCTCCGAAAGAGAGACTGAAATCGACGGGAAGCTAAAGGTCAATTTCTTGTCAAACAGTCCGTAGTTTGCAGTCCACAATGAAAAACCGAAATGATACTGGTGAAGAATTCCCAACTCCAGGCACAGTTAGAGGTTTCTGATAGCTATGGTATTAACGAGTTCGCCTATCACGAGGTCACCCTATTCAGTGAATCATATGCTTATTAGTTCACCCAACGGGAATTTGGTAGCTAAATGAGCTATGCAACCAACTCAAGAGTATACGAGACATCCTCGGAGAATTTATTCATTTTTGTAATGAATAACATAAAAATCTTCTGAGTTTTGACAATCTATGAGAGAAAATAAACGAACCGTGATAACTTTAACTGATTCTCGACTGTGTTGGTCCGACATTTCCAGTTTCGCTTTGTTCGTTATAACGCTATATGAGTTGAATCACCGCATGCGCATGAGGAGCGGAACAGCTCCAATTCAGATACCACAGGTAGGAGTAAGTGGAGCTTTTTTTATCTAGGCCAGGGGTTGTATCTCGTAGCAAGAACCGCCACGCCCAACCCAGATAAAACCCAATTCGGTATTCGCTTTCTCTCAAGCCACATTCCAGATCCACGTAAATTGATATTTCCATTGGTGGAGGTGAATTGTTCTATCCTAATAGTAAGGTTTTATTATTGCACATGCAAAAACCATTTTATCAGTGGTCGGAACCATGGAGACAATCAACTTCATCACCACCAATTACATAATCCTTCCTATTGTTGATTAGATTGTTGCTTTTCTCGTTCAACACAAATGGAAGTTTTAATTGATTGCAATCTGTCGAAGAGAGGCCTTGAATTTGGTCGCGCACACTGAAGTCGGTGGGCTGAACCTCCAGACACTTATTTTACTCATCCTTGAGAGAAAAATACTGGTCGATAACGCATACCAATGAATCGTCCGAGTGTAGGCATTAACTAATTGATTGATTGGTTTCCGCGGTACTTAATTACGACAAGACTGTATCAATGTAGCATTTACCAAACCGACAAGGGCTAGATTTTGTCACTCATTGATAGTGCATACACAGTAATTTTGTTATCCAACGCCAACCGACAGATGGGAAAACTACACACAATACGATAAAATTACCAATGTGGATCGGAAGAACCATATTGCCGATTTGAAATGACACGTGAGCAAGTTAAGACAACCGGATAACGATGACAAAATCATAGGCGAGAGCAAATTGCTTGTCGGAATAATGATAGTGAAGGCAAAGAGATCAGGCTGTTTGCTAATTAATGATGATGACGAATGTGAACTTGCCCGCCAACTTTACAAGCATGAAAGAGCCTCAAAACGGTTGCAAAAATAATACACGGAGGATCGAATTGTCTCACTAGAAAGAGGTGTTAAACTTTGACGTGAAGGTTGAGTGCCAAACCAGCCAATGAAAATCTAAGAATGTGAAACATCATGGGCATTTGTTTGGATAAATACACAAGCGATCTCTTTCTCGTGATCTTTCCTCAATTGGAACTGAGTTCTACTGAATTAGGTGATTAGAATGGTTATAACACTTCTATTAGTGAACCTAACGATCATCACCATCAAGCCACGGCGATTAAACCAGCCTTGCTAATTGCCCTGGAGTCACTAGTACACATCGACAGACCGTAGTAGGTCGATCGGCAGTCCGCAAATGAACACGTTTCCCAGCCTAACTGCGCGGTGGGAACATTTTTAAAATAAACCTTTCGAACAAACATGCGATCGCAATCAAAGAGCGGCGGGATGGTGCGGAGCGGGATTAGGCGAGGAAATCAAACGTGAGGATTGCTCACAAACTGTGCAGTTTCAATCTTACATCCGTAATGTTTTGTTGTTGTTGCAGTTGTTGTTTAAAATATAACTGAAACAGAGAACGTAGCAATGACTACTAGAAATTATGCGAGACAGCGCAGCCCCAAATACACACCGCACCGAAAATATGACAATCAGCGGAATTGAAATAAACAGTAAATTCACATCTCAGTGTGACATGTGTTAGTATTCCCCCTCCTGGAAGCAGTATATTTAGTTACAAAGTGCACTACTTTGGAGGTGTGGTTTGGCGTCCCAACACGCCACACATAGTCTTCGAGACAAAAAGGAACTATAAAATATATCGAGCACTAACAAACCCCGGCTAATTCCAGATTTTTAACAACATCCAATAGTTTATTCGAAGTAATTTGAAGGGGGGTACGAGGAGAAACATCACAGTAAAGAGCACTAGCTTCTGAACTGTGAAAAACAGTGCCACATAACCCGAAAATCGCATCCTTTTAGAACATAAAGAAAGAGGAACTGCTTTCTTCGAAATTCAATGGATGCTATTTTTAAGACTGTGAATAACCGAAGCTTTCATGTGGGTTAATGTTTGCACTGATGACGGTGAAACTGTGGTCGATTAGTTGGATATATATGGCCTACTATACGCCATGCGCCCCTTCACCGTATTGATACAATCTGAAAACTGATATTAGTCATGCACTGTCAACATTATGAAAACATCTGCAACTGGTGAACAGCAAAGTGAGTATAAAACGATCACATCACCTATGGCAGATACACACCCGTCAAATCGTGTACAGCATAACTGAGATCATATATCTGAGGTCAGTCAGTTCAGAAGCTCCGTCCAAACCGAATCCGCTAGGCCTGTACGATCAACAGGATTAAATGGTCAATCGGATCATGAACAGACCGAGGATACAACCCAATCGGGTACTCACATTTCGTATTTTTGTTTTCCATTCATAAGAATACGCTCAGTTGATAGATAACAGAATTACACGCACAGCCCTGTAAGTAGTGTTCTGCCACACTAAACAGAGTCTCTGGATCCAATATAATGAGATCAAAGAATAAAACAGTGCCATAAGAAAAATGTGCCTCCGAAAGCCTCAGTACGATCGGGAGTGGGTGTCTCGGGTTGCGGCTGGTCACCCTTCCTTTGCACCTCACGAAATACTTCTATACGATCAAGCACCTCAAACAGCCTCTACTAAGGGAGCACTACTCACTGCCCTCTCGTGGCGGAGGTGTTTTCCCACCAGAGTGAGATGAAGAAAAGCCAATATCCTGGGCTGTAATCGGGTTGGTGCACCACTGGGAGTTCACCTAGGGGAGTTGGCCGAAAACCCTGATTCAGACCAACCACACACCTTCCTGGTTGCGGCAGTGGTCACCAACTCCATTGGGTATCGAGGTGTATTGGGCACCTTGGACGTTTGATCCCATTCAAAGGGCGTATGGTCCAATGAACTGGACCCCGGCTGACAATGGATTGCGGTGGCTTGCCAATCCCGTCCTTATCCCTGCAGTTGGTTGTTTGCCATCTCTTTTAGTATAAAACATCCCCATCAAAGGAAGGCACTGAATAGGACATTTCTCAGCAGAGGTTGTAATCACAAGTTAATGGGACGGATTTCCAGAAGGGCCCGGGACGGACAAGTCCGAAAATGCCACCCCAACCGTCATTGAATTGTTATTAATATTACTAACATTACTAATTGTATCGACAATAAGATCACCGGCATGAGTGCCACCCAGCTGTACGACAAACCAAACCGGAGGCCTATTCAGTAAATTACAGACACCAATTTTGGAAGCCACCACAGATATCAAGATGACCAATGTCAGTACCTAATCGAATACAGGATAACTCTGTTTCGCAATGCAGAGCACAAATGACAAGTAACAAGTTACTGTTGATGATCCTCTGTGTTGAAAGGTAACACGAGCTGCACATGATGCCAGAGATGAGGACAATAACCCGCTAAATGTGATATACTGAAGGTCAGTTGCGTTCCCCAATCGGACAGTCATCTCCCTAAATCAAATGCGTCAAGACACAAAATGACACATTCATAACATGACAGTCACTTACGGGCAACTTTCAAACCATTTCTGAAAATATCATACATTGTCACGATAGTTGGATCCCAATCGGTTTCGCCCTGTAGCACGGTTGTTCGAATATCCTCCTGTCAATGAAAGCAGGCATAAAATTCGGTGATAAATACGGCTAAAAATGCGCTTCCATCGTCTAAGAGCAATGTGACGGCCGAATGTGCATCACCATTTAAATTTCAATAAGCGGATAAACAGCTCTGAGAGCCAATATACCAAAAATAACTGAAACTTCTTTTACTACATACTTTAGTGTGATAGACAGCAGACGGAGTAAACCCCATAGTCACGAGGATCTGCTGTTCAGCGATGGAAACCGGTAATCCAAACCCCCAGAGTTGAAATGGTGAACCACATAAGGCCCCTCTGGGTTAGGCGTGATAGTGAACCGGACGACAGCAAAGCTGTATACTAAAGTTGGATGGCGGAGATCGAACCACGAACTAAGTGGTCCACAGCACGCCGATTACAGCAAATAAACTACTGCGCCACTACCATTACGTTACTAACCCGCTCACTCCATCCCACTTGGGCCAGACTACGTAAGCATCGATTGTCAAAAACCACTAAACGACGGATGTCTTATATCTACAAATTAAAGATCTTACAACCGTAAGGTACAACTTATCGTACAGTGGCACACTATTCGCGACTTTTCAACTTCAGTGAAACGTCGTCACCGCCACAGGTGTTTTAGTCTTACGTACGCTGCGCGAGCCTTAGAAACGTGGGCGGCTATCTCCTTTGATGAGCTAGTCGTTGGTCACGCAGCTACCCAAGTGCGAGAGGCAATCAAAATTCGGCTAAATCCTGACCATCCGGTTGGAGTATCACTTGGCACTTTGAAGGTGCAAAGCGCATGCCGAACGGAACAACAGAGCTTGCTAGTCTGCCAATTACGTTTTGTGCATCTTCCATAGACTCAAACAGGCAAACGATGTCGTCAGTGTAATCCAAGTCGCACAGCCTTCCTCCAGCTGCCTAATCAATACCAACGTTTCAGAGTCCACCAAGTGCGTTCTCCAGGATTTCGTCTATGACGAAATTGAACAGGAATGGCGAAAGAGGGCATCCCTGAAGAACACCGCCGCTAGTTACGAACGACGTACTAAGCTCGCCGTAGACCCTTACGCTACCAGAAGTATGCGAGCAGAGTGAATTCAGTATGTTCATGTATTTCTGCCGCATTCCTTTGCAAAGGAGTGAACCAATAAGAGGTTCGCGGTTAACTGAGTGTAACGCTACTTTTAACTGAAGGAACACGACAACCGTTGTTCGACGGTGCGCATGGCGTATTTCGAGAATTTGACGCATAGCGAAGATTTGGTTGTTACAACCACGATCTGGTCAAAATCCAACTTGTTTTTCGCGGATATTTTTCTCCCTGAAGGGTGTAGGACGTTGAAATATCACGAAGGATAATACATTGGTGACGATTGGGATCAAACTTATTCCATGGTGGTTTCTGTAGTCCTGGGGAGATCCTTTCTTAAAAATTGGAACAATCAGTGATTTGCTCCAGGATAATGGACTGGAGTCTTGTGATCAAATTTAACGCATTAAACCATTAAGTAGCCTCCGAAAGCCTCAGTACGATCGGGAGTGGGTGTCTCGGGTTGCGGCTGGTCACCCTTCCTTTGCACCTCACGAAATACTTCTATACGATCAAGCACCTCAAACAGCCTCTACTAAGGGAGCACTACTCACTGCCCTCTCGTGGCGGAGGTGTTTTCCCACCAGAGTGAGATGAAGAAAAGCCAATATCCTGGGCTGTAATCGGGTTGGTGCACCACTGGGAGTTCACCTAGGGGAGTTGGCCGAAAACCCTGATTCAGACCAACCACACACCTTCCTGGTTGCGGCAGTGGTCACCAACTCCATTGGGTATCGAGGTGTATTGGGCACCTTGGACGTTTGATCTCGTCCAAAGAGTGTAGGACCAGGTTCTCGCCCACCGCCCGTTGCCTTACGGGTCAGGATTAGGCTAGATGAAGGCCTAGACAACCCCCACAAACAAATCATGGAACATTTACTTTTTATAAAGATTATTGTACCGTGATTTGTTTGGTACAGTCTGGATTTAGATGTGTGAAATACGTTAATAGAATCTCAGTGGAATCTCCCATTTGGGAGGTAAAATTTGAAACCAAAACTGCGTCTAGTTACCATTAACTTTTAGAATTTGATGATAAACTGCGAGCATATCTTCATGTTTCCCGGGAAAACTTAGTTAATTAGGGTTCACAACTTTGCTCAGTGCATTTCGTATCCGGTGATATATAAACCGAGCCGGTGAAGCACAGCAAAACCGACCAAAAGCAAACCCGTAAGTGCTCCAATTCTTAAATGCAATACTAATTGTGGATCTAATCGAGCGAATTAAGTCCAATTATGATTCTGAAGAAGCATGAACATTGACAACAATGGTTAGTCCTAATCAGGCAATCACACCGTAAAGTTCAGCTTTTAGGGTGATTAGACAACCGACGTTCAGCAAGCGTTGGACACAGTATACGATCTAAAGAGAAAGAGGCTCTCGGAAATTTATCCACCGTAATTGAGCAAAATATGAAGAACGGGCAACCTAACCTGCTTGATTCAGACAATTAAATACGGCTTCGCTTGGTTTTCATTGGACTACAGACTGGCTCCCTTAACCTGTAGCGTGGAATAAGGCATGCTGAAAAAGTAAAGACAGACATGCGCACAAAATAACTCAATTATAGCAATGAATGAGGATGAAGAGCCCGATTCTACAACTGATGATAGCCTTATCCAAATACACGCCTTAGTATTCTAGACTTGGTTATTTCACTAAATTCGTTCAATCCTGGAGCTCAAGTTGGTGTTCATCCTGAACTCTCCGTTATACATGACGCGCACGTTCCTGAAATACAAAATAAAGCCAGTAAACCAAATGTAACATATGCTTCGTCGTTTGACTTCACAAAAGCATCAGAGTAGAAGGATGAAGCTGTGAACGTGGTGGAACCATTAGGATGGAAGACCATGTGTGAAAAGATGAAGAAACGCGATCGAAGTCTACATGTGGGTACGTAAGAGTAAAACCTACTCCAGGTTCGACATGGAGTAGTGACTGGTTGAGGTTACGCACCATAGCAAACATTCGACTTTTCAAAAACTGAAATGGTAAGAGACAGTTGTGCACACCCCACCCAACTCGCCAACCCCCACCTTCTGAAATAGATCCCCGGCATCTTATATATTGAGGTAAGTGTTGGTTTGAAGAAACTCAATAATAGTTTTGAAGGTGACCTTGCCCCATAGACTAGATATAGTATTCATCCTAACGGATTTACAGGACCTACCTAATCGGTGTTGGGAAACACATAATGTTTAGTTGTCGTTAACTGTGGCGGTTATGCATCAAACTCCGTTCACAGTGCGTATTTTTAACCTGAAGGTGTAAACTGCATTTTTATCTAACCCTTATCATTAAAGAGTTAATAAAACACTCAAAAATCAAATGTAACTAAAAATTCAATAAATATCCTTCGAAGTGTACCGCTACAGACTTAAGAAAATGGAAATGGGACTATTACTCACCTCAGGATCAATGACAATGGACTGGTTGTGTAGAAATGGACTTGGTTCATAGTAGCGTACATTGAAAAGTTTCGAATAACACTGATAGGAAACGTAGGCAGCCAGTGATGCCGTTGCCATGCTAAGCATGGTGACAGAGTCGAAAGGCAGCCTAAAAAGCTTGTCCACCAACCAGCTGTCCATTGCTGAAAATAAAGAAAAGTAATCAGTCGATTTTGTTTATTTATCCACAGTTGCATGTAAATGAAATTACGATTACGAAAATTGGGAGCTTTTGGATAACACAAATAACTGGTTGAGGCCAATCAAAATGGACTGATGCATTGAGATATAAATTCAGTTTATTCGACGATTAAAAATGATTTGTGACAGGCCTGCTCTCTCTTGTGCCAACAATTCATGCAAGATAGATTCCAGAGAAATCAACACCTTGTGTAGGGTTCCGTGATAGAAGTGAGGCATCAGTTTAGATCAAATCTGTAAATAAATGAACTAAAAGGGACTAAGCCATCAATATCTTAAAAATGACTAATACGGACCACTAACGGCAGTTTACAAAAATATCCTCCATCACCTTAAAAGTTGCAACACAACAAATAGCAAGACTCATTATCGAAGAAGTTGGAACCCAATGTGCAGTGTTCACCGCCTATGTTGTTGGGCGACTGCCTATGTTCAACGTGTTGAACGCTGTTGAGAAAAGCTATCAGTTAGCAGCGGTTGGTGAAATCGGTAACAAAAATAATTAGTTCGCCTAAATAAACACACCTTCAGACGAAAGAGACCTACAACCGACTCCCTACTCCATGAGAATGGGCTACCCAAAGACAGCAATCAAAACCACCACGCAGAGGTGCCAGGTTAATGGTTGTTAACTTAAACTGAAACTCTCAGATGCTTGGAGTCGGTGTATCATCATGCGCACACTCAACAAATATTGCCTTGGAAATGCCTACACGTGAAAGTACGATTATTCAACCCAAGATTGAAACAAATCCATGTGCCTGATACCGATGAGGTCTACTGACTTTACCACAATGGATCCGCTGGGGAATTCCGGGACATATGACACGTCAACCGCGCTGATTAGATCACTAGTGCAGCGAAATAGAGTGAAATGAATATCACTGATTGCTGACAAGCTCAAAATGCATATAAGACAAGTGAAAATGTTGAAGGTGCACAAGGACTGTCTGATTTAAGAAAAAAGGAATGAAAGTTAACATAGAGTATACCATCGTATTGTGCAAGTAAACTTTTTGAAGCATTCTGTTCTGATAAGAAGTGATAACAAGAACGTCCCTAATGCGGAGTTGTTGAAACCATTCAGTGTTTCTGACTAAGCAGTTAGTCTTTTGAACCTCAGTCTAGAAGATAGAATACATCACACTGCTCTGCGTATTTCTTCATGCCTCGCTTCAGTGCCACCCCTGAACCGTGGTGTGATGGCTTGTGCACCTGCCTGACCCAACGAGCTACACAAGATGGGTTTTTTTCAAGCCAAGAGATCTTATCACGCCTGGAAAGTTAATGGGTAGAGGTCAAACGAAGTAGTTTTCTGGTCCTCCAGGTCGAGGGTTCGTCTGGAATTTGCGTTTCAGTCGGTAAAAAATGGTGGAGGAGCAATCGATCCAATGGGGCTCCACTTCGCTTTACCCGCTACCTTGCGGTCAGGTTTTTGTTAGAACTAAAGGCTTTGGACGAGAACCCTAATCGTTATCCTGCTTAGTGACTGGACACCTTGGCAGTACCCGTCCATCAAACCCAAATGCATACACAAAGAAAAAATAATTTCATACTGCATCGGTCGTCGCGCAGGATAATCAAGACCGCGCTGCCTGCTGCACCGAACGGGGTATCCCAACCTTTGTTTAATTCTCTTCCGTATCCAGCCCTCTCCATTTTCCCCTTCTTCCGACCTGTAATAGTCCCTCAAGCAACTTGGATGTCGCCCGCCTAAGGTCGTTGCCAAATAACACTGTAATTAATGTACCACGAAATGGATTGCAGGTCCTGAAGCCTCGTCAATCACTGAATCTGGGGGCCTTCGATGTGAGGACTTTGATGCAGCTAGGTCAACAAGCTTGTCTGGCGCGCACAATGGAATCCTTAGGGATCGATATTTGCTGCTTGTCGGAGACTCTCATTCAGGACCCTACTACTGTAAGCCACTTGAGTGCACCAGATTTGTCTTTGAGATACGTTTTTCGCATATCAGGCGACGAGGAAGCCCGCGCAGGTCAGCGCGGGGTAGGTATTTGTTATGTTACACTTTTTTTGTCGTTTCACATTACTTTGTATTCGCCTCTTTAAATTTTCCCCTCATTCCTTTTCAGCCCCTGTCGTCCATTTGTATGTGGAATAAAGCCTAGGTATCGGGCCTTTGCTTTCTCCCAGTTCAACGGCTGTTGCGATCGTCTCTCACATCAGTATTCTACTCAGTAACAGGCCTGAGTCCTCTCGATTGGATCCCCGTCAATAGTCGTTTATGTGCAGTGCGGCTCCGGGGTTCAATCAGTGTCCGGAAGGGAAGCAACACCAAAAGGTGTTTGTTCGTCATTTCAGCGTATGTACCGACTAATTGCGGTTCTGACACACAACAGGACGCTTTCTACGATGAACTCACCGATTTCATTCGGATGAGTTGAAGCCCCGACATAGTTGCACAGGNAGATAACGGCGATCGACTTCTTCAGTTCTGCGCAGACCATCATCTGTTCCTATCCAGTACCGACTTCCGGCACAGCTCTCGACGGACGGCAACGTGGCGCTCCAGTTCAACTGGTACGCTAACTTAAATCGACCAAATAGCAGTAAGCTACCGTTGGCGTGGCCCAGTGCAAACTTGCAGGTCCTACTGTACCACTTGCATTGAGTCCGACTAAACATTAGTTTTGATGCAGTTCACTCTTCGGGTTGACTGGTCGACGAAAACACCAGTGAACTCGAATAGCTCACCATCGACTATTTGTTCCCGCCGTTCGTGCACGCTATGAGTCAGAGCTAGTGCGTGAGCTAAGCGCGCCTCAACATGATAATGTAAACGAGCAGTTGGATCAGATTAGGTGAGCAATGCATTCGCTGCGAATGTTGCTTGTGGGTCTGAGCCTCAAACCCATCGGAGGCATTGGATATCTGATGAGCCTGTAGCACTGATGGATCAAAAACGACGAATCCCGACCTGCCAGGATCAAAACAAAGTTAGGTGGCGTCTGTAACGTCGGCTGACGAAGATTCTGAAGAAGGACCGTGAAAACTGGTGGGCAACAATAGCTAGTGAAGTGGAAGTAGCAGCTGCATCAGAGAATGGTCAACGACTGTTCCGATTGATACGCAATACGAGAGGTCGGCGAACCCCAGTTAGTGAAACAGCCAGTGATAAGAGTGGACAAGCTATTCACAATAGGGATCAACGACTTGATCACTGGGCAGAATACTTCAGCGAACAGTTTAACTGGCTTTCCGCTGTACAGGTCACTTCATCTGTAACTGAAACCACGTGGGCAGTGTCGCGCGATTCTCCAACGGAAGCAGAAGTTCGGTCCTGCATTCAAGCTCTGAAGCGAGGAGGGGCGGCAGGACCCGATGAGCTCCCTCCCACTCTTTTCAAGATGGAAGGTGATAACCCTGTAAGCTGTATTACTACCCTACTGCGCAACAACTGGACGCAAGAACACATTCCTTCATCTTGGGGCGAGTTATTGATCGTTCCCATTTTCAAGAAAGGATCCCGGTACGATGGTGAAAACCACCGCGGGATAAGTTTGATCTCGATCGTCACCAAAATGCTAGCTTCGGTTATACTTCGACGTTTGACGCCTTTAAGAGAAACCAACATCCGTGAACAGCAAGCCGGACTCCGGCCTGGCCGTGAACGCATTGATCAAATTTTTACGTTGCGGCAGGTCCTTGAGCTGCGTCACACCTACGGTCAAC